GTTCGAGTTCTATGAGAACACCGAAGTTAATTAATGTTATGCTAGGCCACCGACTACCTAGACCGAATTGAGCTTATTGTCGGGTTTCTTTACTTCAGGTAAAAATTCTGCTTCATGTTCATCTTTTTCAATACCAATTCCATTTGGATAACAATATCCAATACTGTACATATTGTACAGGTTCCACTTGCTTTGACATTCCTCTGGGGATTCTCTTGAGTCTTATCCAGCAGGTAATGCGACGATTTTGGGGTTACACTATGATATCCATCCAGGGCTTCTTTCAAAACTTATCTAGCATGTGATATAGACGTATCCTTCCTTCTTACCATCCCTATATCCTTTCAAATGCGAGTTAATTTGTTCTTCTCTTTTCTTTTGTATTGGTATTTCTGCGCTATCCTCTAATTATGTAGATCAGCAATTTGACTTCTCTATATCATCGATTACACTTTGCTGCCAGGACACCAACAACCTGGGCTGAATTTGAATTATTGTCAGGTTTGAGATGTTCATGGTTTTCTTCAGGTAAGTATTTCTCATACCTGTTAGTCATATAATTTCAAGGACCTTCTTGTACATCAGTTTCTTTCTCAAGGTAGTAGCCAGGATTACGTATTCCAATATCATGATCTATCCTTTTGCTATTCCATCAACATTTACTTTTATCCTATTCATCAACATGTCTCATTTCTTATGCCATTCGAATGTCTCTCATGCTTCATTGGGCCAATGCTATTTTGATAAAACTTTACAAATTTTATAATTAGACTGAATAAATAACTATTTAATAATATCGTATATCATCCTTCTTTCAAAACTTCTGACGCTATCTAGGGTTAAATTCCATAAACTTCATTCATTTTTTTTTTTTTTTTTTTTAACTCCGAATCCATCTTCACAGTAATTCTCCAATTCTTGGATAAATTCTTGCTCATTTTTGTTTGAATCATAAATTACTTTAAGTGCAATATTGCACCACAAACCATAAATTCTATAGAACCACCAGTTGCAAATTCTCCATTATCGATTTCTTTAACATTAGATAATCTATTAAACAGAATCCATTTAATCGAATCTTTAAATTTCCAAGCCCTAAGTTGGAACGTTTCCATACAATCATCAATATCTTTATTTCTAGTGGTCCATCTTGTTGTTGCGTCTGGGTTAGAGTTGCAGGTGAAACAAATCTTCAATAGTGCACCAATTGCCACCAGTTACCAATCACCAATCAGCATTGGTGAAACTGGTGAAACTGGTAATACTGGTGAAACTGGTGGTGTTGGTGAAACTGGTGATGATGGTGAAACTGGTGGCATTGGTGAAACTGGTGGTATTGGTGAAACTGGTGGCATTGGTGAAACTGGAGATTAGTGTTCTGAGGTTTGGGTTTGGGTCAACCCAGGTTCAGAACTTGAACCCAAATCTAAACTCAAACACAAAGTTGCTGAACCTAAACTAGATTCGAACATGAATATTGATTCAATTCGGGTTCAGATCAATGTTCATGAGCAAGTCAGATTTGGGCCCTATATAATACTTTCTCCCTATCATTTACTCCTTGCATTTTCCATACCATGCCCTTTTCTTTTTTCTGCCACTTCTTTCCCAATATTTTTCTTCCCAACATTACTCTCCCCTAACATCTCCTCTTCTCTGCCGTTAATTATTATGTATTATTATTATAAACTTCATTCAAACTATTAATTTATTAATTGTTTATTACATAAAAGCTACTTCTAAACAAATATTCAAACTTGTCCGTTATTATTAGAACTAGTAATAGCATACGCATGAATTTTGAGAATCGTGCACATGATTTTTGCAGGCATATTTTAATGGGCCATGTACTATACGTATAACAAGACAAATTCTTTTTAATTAAAATATTAGATAAGTATATCTAATTCTTGTTAAAAAAACCTGTTATTATAATAAAGTATAGATTAATAAAAAAACTGAGTAAAATTTTTAATTATTATCATTGTCTTAGCCTCTAAAATTGCCATATATCCTTATAATAAATTATTGTATCATTTTCGTGTAAAAAAATAAGTACAGTTTACATTCTTAATTTATTTTGAATTAATAATTTATATTAATGTCAAAGATATGAGTTTTATGGCTATGGGAGTAAATCAAAAGCATAATATCCAATACTTTATAATTAACATTTGTGCCAAAAATCTGATTTATATCAATAGAGATCAGATTTTTGGCACAAATAGTTAGCAATAGTTAGCTATTGGATATTCATGGTCTGGGCCTTCGTATATCAATATGATTGTATGAAGATGTCACCAATATGTCATCATACAAAATAAAGAATAATACCCTTAGTTTCCACTGCAGGGAAATATATATATCTGGCTATATGAGAGCCCTTTGGGCCTCATATAACCTGCAGTTGCGAAGAATAACTATTTTTAATTTGGTTTCTTATTTCATTTATTTTAGTTAGTGGGTGTATTTAAAATAGGCCATTTCTTTATATTTAAATTATATTAGTCTGTAAGTTAGTCTAAAATATAACAAAAATATTTTGCTTCTCTTAAATATTCTACCTCTGTAAGATTATAAATTATCTGCAATTTTCATTAAGTCAATTATTTAGGTATAATTTAACTGGAAAGTATAAAGTACTTTGTTTAAACAAAGTATTCGAAAACAATGTATGAACTTCTTTGGTCGATAAACAATCTTTTGTTCAAGTCGATCCAGTCAACATTATTTATTAATTGAATATTTGATATAATCTATTAATTCTTATCTATGCCTATAATTCTTATAACTTACAGTATAGTCTAAAAATTTATATATAAAATATTGATAATAAATTTTAGTCTTATCCGAAATTAATCTAAACACAAAAAATTAGGCTATAAATGTTCGGTACGATAGTTTATGCTAACTGTATTAGGACTAGGGTTGGTAAAGTCCTTAGATCCAAGACTTTAGAACCTGGTCTTTAAACCTGGTCTTTAAAGACCAAGTCTAAATTTAAGGACCTGGGTCCTTAGGTCTTTAAAGTCCCAATATACAAATTTATAATTGCTAATCAATATATATATATAGTATAATGTTTTAAATGCATAGTTTAAGATCATAATCATTTATTTAATGTATATAATTTACATATTGTTATTACACATTCTAACGCTAATAGATAAATGTCAATATGCACATTGTGAAGGAGTAACGTGAACTAGCCGCAGCAAAAAATGTAATCTAAGCCATAAGATCGAAAAAGTATGGCATTTAATAAATGCCAATTTGGGTTTTGGCTTAAGGCAAAGCTCCAATACTAAGGCACTTCTATGGTGGGAACTAAAGTCATAGTCATGTAAATGAGTATGAATTACTCATCGTTAGTTATAGATTCTCCCGATACTCTAAATAATCATATTGGTTAGAGATTCTAATCATAGCAGCAAAGCCCAAAAGCTCTCTGTAATGTATAAATAACCATCGATTTTATGTATCTGAAAACAAGTGAAGTGTTATAATAATAAAGACCATCTAATTATAAACTCCAGGATCTTAGTAGCAGTGGGATCCTTGGTTTTCGGACCAAATCTTCCACGCTTCTTTCGAGCAGCCTTTGATTTTTGTTGTGTTTTAGGTTGTGAATACCAGTCACCCTTTTACAACATATAGTGGACCTAGGTTCTAGGACTAAGTCTTGGACTGGACCTAAGTTAACTAAAGTACTCAAACTAGTTTAATACCAGGACCGGACCAGGACTGGATTTTACCATTCCTAATTAGAACTGATAGTCTTTTGGTCTGTTCTACATAAGTGTTTAGAATAAATAACTCACGAATATTTATTATTTTACTCGTGTCAACTTTTCAACCTAGATAAATAAAAGTCTTAGTGGCGTAATGTTATTAAGCATTATAAACTCACTGGCGATTAATTTAAAACTATACCTATGTAAGTTTGGAAAAATTCAGCTATCAATTTTTTTGGAGCAATGCTACGTATGAATTGTCCAACCAGAACTCCCAAAGAAGTTCATTAATTTTCGAACTGAACTTGAACCTGAACTAAACAAATGTTAATGTTCTGTATGGTGAAATTAATTAGTTTCACCTGCAACTAGGGTGTCTGGCATAGTGGCAAAGGCATGCCAATGGTGGCATGCCCTGGCATGCCAAAAACAAATTTGGTATGCCACTGGGTATAGCATAAAAATTATATTTACAATATTCAAACTATATATATATATTATAAATAATATATAATATTTTATGGCATGCCTTTTGGCATGCCATAGCATAAATTTTAACAAAAGGCATGCCTTGTGGCATGCCAAATTTTTTTGGTATACCAGATACTCTAGCTGCAACTCTAGTCTGGGTTGCATGATAGGTACCATGCTGGTCGCGTGTTATCTTCATTACAATGTGCACATTTTCCATATTTCATATATCGAATGTGACAAAATCCATTAGGGTGAATGGGGTCTGTTTCAATCCATTTCCACGATTTATTTTCGTTTCTTTCTATGCCAATTCCATAAAGATAACAAACAGTAGTTTTCTAAATTCCATTGAAATTACCTGCCTCAGCAAACTTTGGATAAGAACTAACCACTTTATGCTTATCGATTTCGACACTAATTCCAAAGTTATAACAATAGCCAACTAGATAAATTCTGTAAGAATTATTCTTTTCTGTCGATTTTTGATAATGTATAAATACTGCGTTTTCATATTTTTCAACTTCAATTCCATGTCGATAACAGTATCCAACCTGATATGTTCTCTTTTATCTCTATAAACTATCTTAGCAGGTTTATAAAAATTATCGAATGTCTTCTGTTTATCTTTTCTAACTCCAGTTCTATGATGATAACAATATCCAATTACATTTGTTGTATCAGCATTTTTCAGTTCAGCAGATATTTTATAATGTTCGAAGGCCTCATTTTCATCTTTAATTTTTATTGCGTAGTAGTGTCCAAAGCTGTAGGCTATATTCCAATAATCTATCCCTAGTTCACAGCATATATATCAATGGCCTTTATTATGCCAAAAGTTATTAGCATAAAAATGATGAATATGGCTTTTAACCATTCGCTTGAAATTCTACTAGGCCTTTTCTTGGCATGTGTTCAACATTTTTCTGGTTTTATATTTATTAACTTGGCACTTTTTTTAGCATTTATTTCATCTTTAGCTGTACTAGTACCATTTCGATAATTGAAGCTAAGATTATATTGCCCATTCGAATCGTCTTTTTCAGCTTCAATCACATTGGTACTATCTACTTTAGCAGATTTTTCATAGCTCATTGGAACTTTCTCTTCAGTATTTTTACAATCGTTTGGGCCTAGCCAATCTTTGGGATTTTCATTGTTGCAAGGGTACCAAGTCTCGTTGTCATTGGCGTTTTTAGGTTTTTCAAGATTGTTATTAGTCATATCTTCATGCTTGACAATATCAATCTTGTTATCTTCATGGACCTCATTATTATTCTTATATTTAAGGTCAAAATTGCGGGAGCTATTACATAATCGTTGACTTTTCCTGGTTCATTCTGGTTCTCATAGCAATGATTGACTTGACATGTTCTTCCCAAGTCATTATTATTCGCATCGTTATGTTCATAAACCTCATTATTGAACTTGGGCTTAAGATCATCATTGGCACTTTCCAGTTCAGAACAATGAGCAACTCGAAATGTTTCTTCAAGGTCATTTGTCTTTTGATGATTATTACATGCCTTACAATTATCCTTTTCAGACTCAATTCCATTGGTATGATCAATTTTAGCAGATTTTCGATACTTCACTAGGACTTTCTCTTCGACCTTATGCTCATCTTCTTGAGCTTCGATTTTCTCATCATAACAGGCACCAAGAGTGTAAAGTTCGTTGGTCTTTTTTACCTCCACAACTTCTTGATAATGAATGGATGTCTTTTGCTTATTCATTCTAATTCCAATTCTATTTCGATTATGATGACCAGAGTCATATGTTCCATCAGTTCTATCTATTTCAGTGACTTTTTGATTACATATGCTTAACCTAATATTATCCTTCTTTTTAGTTCCACTTATATCATTGCAACAACGTCCAAGTATGGCTTGTGCTTTCAAAACACCTTCAGACTTTCCTTTCTTTGCCAATTTCTGATAACAATTGGATGCTTCTTTTTTGAGGCCAATTCCTTTTTTGATTATTGTTTCATCAACACATTCGAGCTCAGCATATTTTTGAGAATAAATGGCTGCCTGGTGAGTATCCTTTTCGGCAATGATTTCATGCTCATAGCAGTATTCAAGATTGTCCATTCTATTAATTAAATTCTCTGACTTGTTTTCTATCTTGCAACTTTTATTTTGTACCAGTTTACCAGTTCCTTTGGAGACATAGTAAGTATCAAAAGCTTCTGTTACTGTTAGTCTTTTTCGTTGGTTCTTTGATGGATAGATTCTCATGTTATGAGCTACAGTAAACTTTAAAGGAATGATAATAGACTCTTAATTGAGTCGAACTCTTCTGAGTTGTTGTTTATTAAAGCAAAAAGTCAGTGCTTTTATAGCTTTCGTGCTCAAGAAAATACAACAGTTTTTCTAATTTTAAATTATGACATCACTTTGCCAAGTCTTGAATATTTGAACATTTGAATATTTTAAGGAATGCCAAATATTCAAATATCCAAATGTTCAAATGTCCAAATGTTCAAATGTCCAAATGTCCAAATGTCCAAATTTCAAATGTTCGAACATCCCAAATAAGGCAAGAATGTTTGGTTATAATTACCAGTTCCAACTGGCTATGCTAATTTTAATTTAATTTACTAAAAAGGCAACTTTGAAGCCTAATACAAAATATATAATAAGAAAAATAAATAAAAAATATACTAAAGGTACCCATTAACCCTTCACAACATACGTACGTACATGCTAAATGCATGATTGGAAGTTATGTTGATGAAAGCCGATTGATTAAAATATTCTATCTAATTCAGATTATATTTCGTTATAATGTGAGGTTGCGAATGAAAATTTTGAAAAGCGTCGAATTACACTTTATTGTTGGACTATGCAGCAAATTAATTTAGGCTGATGATGATTTTATTGAAGCAATTATAGTTGTTTTCATAAATTCTAGAACACCCTAAAAAAATTTGCCAAAGTCAATTCGGCCGAATTCAGTAAATTATTGATTTTGGTATAATTAGTGCATGATCAGTATATAAAAAAATTATTGAGTTACTATTATTATAGCACATTGTTCAATCAATATATTAAATTTTTTTTTGCCTTATCCAATATGATATATACAAATATTTATACCAAAAACTGTTCTTGTCAATTAATAGATCTTCACTAAAAAAGGTTTTGACCATAAGTTGGACTTTCTTAATAAACATATAAACTTTAAGTTCGTTTTGTGAATCTTTTTATTATATAATTGTCTTATAGTATAGCAAACTTGTTTAATGAAATATACTGTATTTATACAAAAATAAAAATTTGTCTTTTTAATACGTAATGCTCCATATTACACAAGTAGGCAAAAGTTTAAATATGATCAGGGGTTGTAAAAAATACAACACAAGTTGAAATCAGAAGTCAAAATATTATTATTATTTGTCAACAATGTTTTAATAATTAAAGTGATAGTAATTCATCAACATAGTCATACCTTTAAAATTGTTTGAAAACTCAAACCATAGAGGACCTGTTAAAACCTAAACGTTTAGCAATTACTCTAACTTAAGCCTTCTAATATGTATTGTATATTTATATAGCACCGGGATAAATAGCTTATCAAATTCGGCTGAGTAGACTTTAGCAAATTTTTTTAAGGTGTCTCAGAAATTATGAAAACAGCTATAAGTAGTGATTAGTATATGATAATGAAGTGAGTGATTGATCAAGAATTGTTAGAATAATACTAGGAGTTACCGTAGAATTGATTAGCCACTTGACAAAGCAAGCCGGCTATGAGTATAGTGTTGGCTGAGAATAGAGGTGGGAAAAATGCGCATTTTATAATAAAATGTGCATGAATGCGCATTTTATAATAAAATGTGCATGAATGCGCATTAATGCGCATGATACCGTATGATAAAAAATTTTTTTTAATTATTATTATTATTTTTTTTTTTAATGTTAAAGGTGAGACCATGCTCTTATCTTTATTAAACTTAATGAAAACTT